GTCTGATTAAACAAAAATAGAACAGTTTGGCCATAATGAACATTGTTATGTTTGGAGGAAAAAGGGGACAGCTTTCAAGCCCAAGAACACCACCCCAATCGTGAAGCATGGGGGTGGCAGCATCATGCTGTGGGGGTGCTTTGCTGCAGGGGGGACTGGTGCACTTCGCAAAATGGATGGTATCATGAGGAAAGAAAATTATGTGGATATATTGAAGCAACATCTCAAGACATCAGTCAGGTTAAAGCTTGGTCGCAAATGGGTCTTCCAAATGGACAATGACCACAAGCATACTTCAAAAGTTGTGGCAAAATGGCTTAAAGACAACAAAGTCAAGGTATTGGAGTGGCCATCACAAAGCCCTGACCTCAATCCTATAGAAAATGTGTGGGCAGAACTGAAAAAGCGTGTGCGAGCAAGGAGGCCTACAAACCTGACTCAGTTACACCAGCTCTGTCAGGAGGAATGGGACAAAATTCACCCAACTTATTGTGGGAAGCTTGTGGAAGGCTACCCGAAACGTTTGACCCAAGTTAAACAATTTAAAGGCAATGCTACCAAATACTAATTTAGTGTATGTACACTTCTGACCCACTGGGATGTGATGAAAGAAATAAAAGCTAAAATAAATCATTCTCTCTACTATTATTCTGACATTTTACATTCTTAAAATAAAGTGGTGATCCTAACTGACCTAAGACAGGGAACTTTTACTAGGATTAAATGTCAGAAATTGTGAAAAACTTAGTTTAAATGTATTTGGCTAAGGTGTATGTAAACTTCGACTTCAACTGTATCTGGTATGAAAGTGAACTGTGTTTGTGTGTGATCAGGGGTGTATTCCTTCCGCCGATTCTGTTGAAAAATATTTCTTAAACAGAAGCAAACGGAACAAAACAGGGATAAACATACCTGAATATTTCCAATAGAAACTCACATTTGCAACTGTTGAATTAATGATTACACCATAGATCAGCTAGATGCAAGCAAGAGTCTGCAAGGTGGTATCGAATGTGTCAATGACTGTCACCTTGATTACTCAAAATTCACTCAACCTGTGCACCTACATTGTAAACTTTCATTCATAGGCTAGGTTGTAGCAACTTCATGATCGGTACAGGGAAAATTTGAGTATCATGTAGTAGCCTAAACCTATTGATGTTACATTGAGCTGGGTGAATAGAATATGAATGACGGTCATCCAATATGCTGTAATAGAAATAAGGCCATGCTCATTAAAAAAAGAATCACCCTCCCTTATCTTAAACGGCACAGACCGCCACTGGTACAGGAGTATTATGAACACCATTGTCACCGAAAACCGCCACTGTATGAAAGAGTAGAACGTCATTGTGAAAAGGTCTTGGGATAATAAACTAAAGTATGTCAGGCCACGGCACTAACTTTGTGTAAACTGTTTCATTGTCCTACATGGGGCTACTTTTTTGGTGGACTAAAAAGCCCACAAATTACCCAGGCAATTATGGGCATACTTTTCAGCATACATTGCTCTGAATTACAACTTCCCTGACCGAGCTCCAAACAACAGAAATAGGTCAACCAAGTACTGTAAATACAATTACTCCTCTTCTTTAGATGTTAGCACCTGACTAGGCCTATATCCAGTGGACGGATGCCTCTGTTTCTAACCCATGATGTAATTCTCCAAATGGGACAGGCAGGGTGTGTGTGTGTGTATATGTATGTGTGTGTGTGTGTGTGTGTGTGTGTGTGTGTGTGTGTGTGTGTGTGTGTGTGTGTGTGTGTGTGTGTGTGTGTGTGTGTGTGTGTGTGTGTGTCTGGCCGTCCCTCCATTCCCTACCTCTCCGTTCACAACCCAGGGAGTTCAACCACACACTCAGAGAATACAGGGTGAAACGCTCAATGGGGATAGGAGTGGTCTAGAACTGCTCCAGAACTCTCTATCTGAAGGGGAGGTCGCAGGTTCTGTTAGGTTTGTGTAAATGCTGCATGATGAGAGAGGGTACGGTGAATTGAGTGTCTGTGAATATGAATAGGGTGTCGGATAAAAATAGTGTTAAGGCCAGATGTAGAGATGAAATGTTAAAATGTTGAAATACAGTAAATTATTAATCCATTGGTATCAACATGTACACACAGCATATCTGAATAAGGCATTGAAAAGAAGTTCAAAACACTGATGAAAGCTGATAACGTAATTTGATAAAAGCCATGCATTTTCAATCATAATAAATAACTAACGGTCTTCAGTATACAGGGGCCCAAACGCATGGCCAAATGTCACAAAATGTAATGTTTGCATATTCTGCTATATGCATTGCAAACATTGCTGTGTCTTCCTCAGAATTAATTGTGAGCAAATTCATATTTACTTTGAAAAAGTGAATAACCCTTCAGTGCATTCATTTCAGTATATTGATTAAATAGCAGTAAACAAGAAAATACTTATTCTTGATTATACTGCAAATAACTGAATATTTAAATTCAGAAATGTAAACCTTATGTGAACCCACCCATACATTTCTATTTGTTGGTGACAATAAAATGTGTGTGCATGCATCCGCATATTTGTGTTTATGCAAGCAAGAGTGTGTCTTACAGCAAAATGTAATAAAACAATTATCTTACACACTCAACATCATCCTCAAATAGACCAGTAACATTGTGCCTAAACAGTATGCCTACCGTAACATTGCACCCAGATAGTGTTGTTTTTGCATTTTACATTTTACATTTGAGTCATTTAGCAGATGCTCTTATCCAGAGCGACTTACAGTTTAGTGCATTCATCTTAAGGCCTTAAGGACTCTCTCATAACCCCCATAAAAGATCTCTCTGTTGATGTTAGACTTTCCATCATATTTGCATTTCCAGCTCATTTCGCGATGGGAGATCAATATTAAATCAATCATAACAGATTAGATGGCATATTTGACCTGATTCAACCCATCCTATCAGATTGAGCAATACATCACAGCATATGAGCAACAGCACACTTAAAAATGGCTTTAAATCAAATATTGATCTCTACCTAAATCTCTTGCCCATAAAATCCTCCTACACATTAGCATGGGAGGAAGAATAAAAAAAAGAGTGTATTTTGTAATGATCCAGGTGAAATTTTAACTAGGGACAAAATAAACTACTGACTCCCTATGAAAATGATTTATTCATCTGAAGACAAACAGTATATTAAGCAATTTAAATCAAATTATTTTAATTCTCTATGGTCTGTTTTAAAATGTTGTTTACTTAATTTAAAGATCAAAGAATTTAAATGATTGCCCCTATGGCTAGGACAGCTGATAGGATAACCTACTTTTATTTCAATGTCATTTAAAAATAAAGTAGAGTTAATGGTGAGCTTAATTTAGAGTGGAAATGTGGTAAGGCTCACACACACAGTGGATGACAGCTCCCACATTAAAAAAATACTATAGTATACTATGGTTAAATCCTATACTATTCACTGTAGTGTTTTCGCACACTTTACATTAGTATTCACTGTAGTGTATTTGCGGACTAAAGTCAGCAAAAACTGTATTGACTGTAGTAGTACTAGTTGCTGTAGTGTTTTTGCAGACTGTAGTATTTACTGTAGTGTTTTTGCAGACATTACTGTAGTATTTACTATAGTGTTTTGTTTTATTATCTTTGACAAAACAGTGGGGGCTTTGTCCTGAAAGAAAACTACTAGACAAAATACTCTAATTGCAAATTTTCCATTACCTGTAGGTAGATAGGATTGAGGTCTGAATGGATAGTTCAGAACTTCTATTAATTTCTATAACCTGTAGGGAACACAATATATGGTATATACCTGGCATGTAGGTTTCTCAGTTATGGGTGGCAGAAATTGGGATATGGGGGAGGGGAATGGGCAGGCTATATGCAAATTAAATACTGTAGTATACTATGTAATTACTGAAGTGTTTTTGCGGACTGTAGTGTTATTGCGGACATTACTGTAGTATTTATTATAGTGTTTTTGCAGACTGTAGTGTTTTTGCGGACATTACTGTGGTATTAACTGTAGTGTTTTTGCAGTCTGTTGTATACTTAAGCAATAAGGCCCGATGGGGTGTGGAATATGGCCAATATCCCACGGCTAAGGGCTGTTCTCACGCACAACGCAACGCGGCGTGCCTGGACACAGCCCTTAGCCGTGGTATATTGGCCATATATCACAAACCCCTGAGGTGCCTTATTGCTATTATAAATTGGTTACCAACGTAATTAGAGCAGTAAAACTAAATGTTTTGTCATACCCGTAGTATATGGTCTGATATACCACGGCTGTCAGCCAATCAGCATTCAGGGCTCAAACTACCCAGCATATAATGTAGTATTTACTATAGTATTCAACAGTATACTACACAATTCTATAGTAAGTCCTACGCATGATAGAGGTATACTACAGTGTGTAGTATATAATTCTACAATATACTACAGTTTACTACAGAATTCTATAGTAAGTAGTGTAGTATTCTATAGTAAACTGTAGTATTTTTTTATGTTGGAGCTTTCCCTCCAGGCAATGGTTTTCAACTTGCTGTGGGTTTTGGGAACTTGAATTTCAGGCCATTAAATTCCTCAAGTAGCCTAATTTAGTAACACTTTCAACTGACTAAAATGTGACTATTGCGTTTTAAAACTCGTTTGGATTGAGCAAGTCACTGACACAACTATTTGCAATAGGAAAAAATGCAATTGCCATCAATCAACCTGCCACAACTTTTTCGAGCGGTGCGCCCTCGCCATGTCCATCTGTGTTTTCCAGTTTAGCCTACTAAAAACTCCGTAACAGCATGGGCCTATAGTCAGATTTGGCACAACAGAGCATTACAAAAAATGACCTAGAGTTCAGTCATTACAGCTAAATTACATCTCAAACATATGACTTCCACAAAATGGAAAATGTCTCCCCCTTCCTGTCTTACAGCTTTTCTACCTTGACGCGCTAAACTTTAAGTTTGCATAAAACCTTTAGATCAAATTATCATCTCTCATGTCTCCACTCACCTGGCGTTGGTGCAGTCATTGTACAAAGTCTCGAAGTCTTTTCTGGAAATGAGTTTGCAGCGATTGACTCCTGGCTGGATGGCCCCTAGCCCTCGCAGGATGCGGACCTGCTCCACATTGCACACCACCGGCGTGATCTCCAGTCTCTTCAGCTTGGTGTACACCGTGTGCAGTCCTCCGACCAGGTGCTTCAGAAACAAATCAAACGCCTGGGGCAGGCAGATGAGTTCGCAGCCGTCCACGGTGAAAGACGCCACCTTCGCCCCCCGCAGATCTACCATTTTACACTCGTTGTTCTGCGGGGTGTTTTCAACAGGCGACGGGGTCGAGTAGACTGGCTTGCTGGGCAGAGTCCCGGTCGGGGTCGGGATGCCGGGGCTACTGGTGGCGAGGAGCTCAGAGCGGAACAGGTTCTGGCCGGAGGGGCCCACGGAGGGAGACGGGGACGAAGTTGTTGACGGCGGGGACGTGGTCGCGGAAGGAGTGGAGATCGAAGGCATGAAAGCAGCCGGTACGGCCATGGTCACCTAAGGGAAGAAGAGTAAGTTCAAAGTATAAAAACCACTCCTGCAGAAAAAAAAGTGCGGCTGTCGAGAAACTCCAAATGAAAGAATCCACGGGAGTTTAGCTCCTCTGATGAGTTGGGGAGTAGAAAGAGATGCTGAAAAGACGTGGTGAGTGAGGAGGGTTTGGGCTGAGCGCGGCGGGACAATGATCAAAGATAGAAGGAGGAATGACAGGAGGAGAATGAGCGGATAAATGCGGCTCCGCATACGCTCTGTTGATGAGTTGTGCTTGTCACAAGGTACAGAGAGGGAGGAGCTAGGGGACAGTGGAAACCTTTGAAGAACAGACAGACAGAATTTAAATATGTTTATTACAAGTCATTATATCATATTATATGACACTTCATTATTTTATATGGCTTTATTTAATCTCAAACATGTTTTTGAGATGTTGTATCTCATACGTAATCGCGTGCGTCAAGGGACATTGAGTGCAAATATAGGCAAATAAGGGAGACCGGGAATGATTGTAACACTTTTTTAAGTGACTGTTAAGTAAACATACTAACTGATAAAAGTAGCCCTAATTATCACTTGTCTTCTTTAAATGCACTTTTGAAAACTGAAGTCAATAAAACATACTATACTTTTTTAGATTGGTTTATATTTACAAATCACAGTATAGTGCAATTATATGAATTAAATTCAGCACCAGCTGTGAGCATCTGGGAGGCCGGCGTTCCTCCAGAATGGTCGAGCGCGGTGCAACGGCTTTTTTGCCCATCGGCCTCATTCACCGGGCGCCCGCGATAGGCGGCTTTGTCAAGCATCAGCCGTGCTCCTGCCTTTCATGTGTGGTTTTCCTAACAAAGCCCACCCGCCCTTCTACCGACCAGTGACACTACAGCTGCCAGTCAGAAGAAAGACGATTTTTTTCAGCGTCAAGCCAGTGGCATGCCTACTCCCTGTCACTTTGGAGGATATAGATTTTTATAATTTAAGATACATTGGATGCCATTTGAATTTATTTTGTGTGTGCAATATATATCGAGGGCCATTCCTGGTCAACCTGGATCCACTGGTGATGACCAATCCAAATCCAGTCAAATCGAATTTTATTGTCATTTATTTGCAGGCTTCTCACGCTGTCCAATGGTGACAAAAGTGACATAGTAATCAAATAAGTAACATAGGAAAGCAATCAAATAACTGACATTGCAATTATATAACACTAATAAAATGACTAAATCAACTAAATCAAGTATAAGAGGCATGCCTTCACAATCGGAGGCCCCTTTCAGGTAACGGGTGACCTGAATCTGGACCCCTCATCCATCGCATTCCTGGTTGCAGGGTTCTTCTGAATGGCTCCTATACACGAAGAAAGAACATTGAGTTACATTTTAATCACACATGATCTTACACATGAGTTTAAGAATTTACTCAAAAGTAGAGAAAACAAGTGTAACACATTTAATAATATCAAAACTTATTGTGAATAATGGTCTTCAGAAACAAGTCCCTGAAACAGGCCTTATTCCCTGCCCCAGTCCAGGTTGTGGCAATGGCAAGACGGTTTGACAGAATGCAAGGTAGCAACCGCCACACTGTCGACTTCAGGTCATTGGCACCCATTACAGCCAGAAACCTAAGCTACAAAATGCAAGAGAAGTATTAGAAATGACACACTATGTGAACGTATTTCCCTCCCCCACCCCCTATATTTTATATACAGTGTTCTGTCATTGAATGCAGCCCAGACTTGGCACTGTTGGCCCGTTGTAGTGTCTCACTCCTGGCCCTGTTTGAAACAATAATGTTACATTGAAATTAAGTCAATACTGTGCAAGAAAGAACAGATAGGCAGAGTCTCATCTGGGCTAAGTGAATGTAACGTTACACACCTCCATGGCTATCACATGCACATGGGGCTGTGGTGCCTAGCCGACTAAACTCAACTCCACGATTTACAATGGAGTTGAGCAGCAACTAGTGTGGGCGGACTGGAGCTCTGACATCACATAATAAACTACGGATTTCAGCACCCAAAGAATAGCCCCTATTTACACATGACAAAACCACAACAAATGTAAGGTATTTATAGAAACAACAACAAAAACTCGCAGCCTCTGGCTGGCTGTGGTTAGCTGGACAGTGGCAGGCTGAATTTAAGGTTAGAGAAATTCCTTGCTATTGTCTTTAAGTGATAATGCCCAAGAAGCCGGTGTGTGGAGGATATATTGGCACAGGTGTTGTTAAACCGTGCCAATATATCCTCCAAACACCGGCTTCGAGGCCATTATCACTTTTATACAACGGATTACCAACATATTCAAATAATGATTGACATATTTTCATAAAAAACTTTATTTTGATGAATTTATTAATACTATTTCATCTTTCCACAAGATAGTCCCGACACAAATCTAGGGTTGCTAACCAAGCCGGCTGGTCATTCGTTCTATCGATTCGGTTGCCAGAGACGCGACCCAGTCGTTCAGTCTTTTTGTTCTTTATCTATGGATGCGACCCAGTCGTTCGTTCTAAATGTTCCATTGCCATACTGGCTGGCAACGTTCTTATCCCTTGCTTGCTAGCTAGCCAACTACGGCTAACTTACAGTCACGTCAAAAAGTGCAGCCAGAATAACAGCAAATTAGCTGCATTTGCATTTGTTTAAGCTGTTTTCTAGTGACATTTATTTGGATACATCCATAACAATGAGCTAACGAGGCGCAATTTCGCCTGGCATAGAAAATGTGCTCTCTCGTCAGGAAACTGTTGTTCAGAGGAGCTAGCCAACAACACACCTAACACAATATTTTCAAACTGAAGCTGGAAAGACTGCAAACTAACTGCACTTAGTTTCGTTTTACCTTTTTTCTATTGATATTTCTTTGTATATATCCATAAAATGATGCCAGCTGATTCATGATTTCGACTGGCTGAGAAACGCCGGCTGCCTTTCTGTCTCTTCCCGACTTCCGACATGTTCCTTAATATAGGACAGCTGGAGATCGAATTTGAATGTTGAAACAATGTTGCAAGCGTCGGAGAGACAGACAGCAAGGCTTATACAAATCTCTGCTGTTGAAAACTAAATGTTAGTCTTAAAGAAATGTGAGATAATGTCTAGATGCTTTTTATAGTGGAGAACAAGTTTATAAAGTGCCTGGCTGGGTTGATAAGAGAGTGGATTGCGCAGTCAGATGGAACAGAGTAAATAGGCATTTTAACGTCATAGATTTAGCTTGTGGTAACTTGTGGAATAGACACCGGTTGGAATGTGGTTTTAACCAATCAGCATTCAGGATTAGACCCACCCGTTGTATAATTAATATTAACTCATGGCTAGATGGCTTGCCTAGGGCTTATAGGTGTCCTCTGATTGGAGGCTAAGTGCCAGAGATGCAAAAGCAGCCTGACAAGGGCGTATAGCGGTCCTATGAGTTGGGGCTACCCGGCAGAGATGCAAATCATGTCTTGAATGGCAAACTCTTTTCACCTGCTGGCGGTAGGAATTTATAGCTTTGGGTGTAGGGAAAGTGGAAAATAGCAAGCGGGAGGACATTTTTTGTGTACTGGGTAGGTACTTATTGGATCTGAAGACGGTTGTCATAAATGAGTACTCTGTGACAGGTGAAGTGTGAAATTGACTGATAAAACTGATTGCTTCCAATGCGTTCACTTCCCTAAACCTAACACCTCTTAAAGAGGAGCTTTTGAGTAATGTATGCTGGGAATCAGGTGACACATATGTCAACATAAGTCTATTGTGACGAATGGGATTAGACTGAGATAAAAGTTGTGTGACACACTTAACTGTAGGCAATCGCCATCACACTGCACACTGCCCTATCCCATCTGGACAAGAGGAATACCTATGTAAGAATGCTGTTCATTGACTATAGCTCAGCATTCAACACCATAGTACCCTCCAAGCTCATCATTAAGCTCGAGGCCCTGGGTCTGAACCCCGCCCTGTGCAACTGGATCCTGGACTTCCTGACGGGTCGCCCCCAGATGGTGAAGGTATGAAACAACATCTCCACTTCGCTGATCCTCAACACTGGGGCCCCACAAGGGTGCGTGCTCAGCCCCCTCCTGTACTCCCTGTTCACCCATGACTGCGTGGCCAAGCACGCCTCCAACTCAATCATCAAGTTTGCAGACAACACAACAGTAGTAGGCTTGATTACCAACAATGACGAGACAGCCTACAGGGAGGAGGTGAGGGCTCTGGGAATGTGGTGCCAGGAAAATAACCTCTCACTCAACGTCAACAAAACAAAGGAGATGATCGTGGACTTCAGGAAACAGCAGAGCGTGCACCCCCCTATCCACATCGACGGGACCGCAGTGGAGAAGGTGGAAAGCTTCAAGTTCCTTGACGAACACATCACTAACAAACTGAAATGGTCCACCCACGCAGACAGTGTGGTCAAGAAGGCGCAACAGAGCCTCTTCAACCTCAGGAGGCTACATTTTTTGGGGCTTGGCACCTAAAACCCTTACAAACTTTTACAGATGCACAATTGAGAGTATCCTGTTGGGCTGTATCACCGCCTGGTACGGCAACTGCACCGCCCGCAACCGCAGGGCTCTCCAGAGGGTGGTGCGGTCTGCCGAACGCATTACCGGGGGCAAACTACCCGCACTCCTACAGCACCCGATATCACAAGAAGGCCAAAAAGATCATCAAGGACATCAACCACCCGAGGCACTGCCTGTTCACCCCGCTATCATCCAGAAGGCGAGGTCAGTACAGGTGCATCAAAGCTGGGACCAAGAGAACGAAAAACAGCTTCTATCTCAAGGCCATCAGACTGTTAAATTGCCATCACTAGCACATTAGAGGCTGCTGCTGCCTATTTGAAATGGAACACTAGTCACTTTAATAATGTTTACATATCTTGCACTACTCATCTCATATGTACAGTATATACTGTTTTCTATTCTATAATATTCTACTGTATCTTAGTCCATGCCGCTCTGTCATTGTTTGTCCATATATG